GAATGATGCGTTGTACAGGTTGCTGTATTGGGGTACGTTTGCTGACCGTGTTCGGGGTGTCCTTCACCGAGATTACGAGAGGGAAGTTTTGGAGTAAGGTAGCAAGCAGCTGGGTAAATCGTGAAGAGAGATTGAGGGATTACGGATTGCGGATGTGGGCCAAAACAAAAGTCGAACCACTCGTGCCGCTGTCGGATGGCGGCTGTCGTGTCCGGGATGGGTGAAGCTCAGCCACAGGGGAAATCGGGAGACGTGGGAGGGTGAGGCGGTGATGATGATCCATGGTCCGTGGGGGTGTTGTTCTTTGGTGGATACGGGGAATTTCTTCATTCGGACTATCAATCAGCAGGTCATGTTCGGTCTGGAACTTTTTTTTTTTTTTTTTTGGGTGATGGCTGCTTGGCGGTTCGGGGTTTTAGGGGACTGGGTTTCTTGGGCGAGGAAATGAAATGGCATGTTGTCTTTCTCCCCGATGCTGGTATTGTTTGTTCTTGGGTGAGATTTGGCTGAGGTGATTTGGGGATGAACAGGCGGTCATGATGTCATTGGGCAACGGAGGGTAATTACCTACTCCGTTAGCGAGGCGCTGTTGATATCACCCGTCTGGCTCACTCCATGCTGAGGTGTTTGTTTACCCGTTTCATCCTTGACCTTCTTTATGTTTTCGCGTAGCTTTGCTCCATTCTCCTATTCGTTTCTTACTCCGGTACTGTATCGATTTGTTTTACGTGAAGGTTCAGCGAAAGGAATAGACTGCCGCAACGTCGTTGGGGTCCAGGGCTGTGTTACGGTGCTAGGCATTGATATCCGAGCCGATTTACCCAGTGTCCACCAATCCCCCGGTTTTTAACATCTCCAATCACTGCCGTGAAACAAACAACGCATGAGTGAGCTGAAAGACCATCGACGGGATCTCGTCGATGAAGCGGATGCCAGTGGAGAGTGAGAGAATTGTAGCGGGCAATGGATGGATGTGCTTCAAGGTTCAGGTTCGTTTGGACTCTGGACTTCTGGATGGAGACCAGGGAGGGACCGCCCGCTGTGGCGGGAAGAACGGCACGGCTGACGATTGGGCGAAACGTGGGGCGCGCGAGGTTCGCTGGACCACTGGACCGCTGGTGAGTGTTCCTTGCTGGCTCAGAGCTGGTGTGGGCCACCCGAAATGTCACCCGTGCCAAGCTTTGGGCGTAGCGTCGTTTTTGGGACTTGGGGATCCTTGGACACGCATGTCTGTGTGTGTCTGCTGTGACGCCTCGAGAGCCGAGACATGGGGAAATGTGTTGTATGTAGACTGTTGAATAGGAAGGATGAGAGACGTGGAAGAGCGATAGAGTGAATAGGAGTAAACGGAGATGAAGGGAGGCCGCCCTCGTACATACCTTACCTCGATTTAGAGACATTGGGCGCAGCTTCATATGGAAAACGCGTGCTTTTGGCAACAGAATGTCGCGGCAACATCCCAGAGTCATCCCGTTTCTGTTGGTACTATAAGGTATTAGAACCTCAACTTCTTTTCTTGGCGGGTGCTGATTTGCGGATATTGTTCTCCTGCGCCCCTTTTTGCCCGAGTCTTTTTCACTTTGCTCGGGGATTTCCCTGGATGGCTCCGGGGGAACAAGGTGACGGCACATCGTCCCATCCTATCCGTACCTTACAACTAGGCAGATTCTTCACCGATCAGGGGGGAGGCCAGCGGTTAGACGTGTCTCGACTAAGCAGACTTGCAACTCTCTGTCGACACTGTAAGTACGGAGTACGCTACGCATGCGAGGTGAGGCACTGGAGGCGGCATGTACCGGGTTTACTCTCGAGTACCTGCCAAGGACTCTGTCAATGATGCATGTAGCTGCACCTTATGTAAGGCAGTACGTACCGTTCTACACCGTCTTGTGCCCCCCGCCATCCGTGCCGGCTTCAGGGCACCCCAAGTCGCGCGTCACGGTGTCACCCCACTTGCATCTGCCATTGGCCTTGGCCCTCTCTCTTTCGGTCTCTCTTCCCAGAGCTCCCACTCCACGTCTCCATATCCGGTTCTCTCGGCCTTTCTCCCTCAACGATCCATTGGGCTGGGTGAAGTGGACGGAATGGGCCATGGTATTGGTGAGGACGGAGCTGTGACTGTAGCTGTCAAGTCTCTTTGACATGGTCCCAGCTCTGCCGTCCACCCCGCCAGGAATGTACTCCAGAAGGTACCTCAATGTAAGTTCAAGCTGCTTAGCTACCTTCATTTAGCACCCAAGTGTACCTAAGGTAGATAGGTAGGTAGCTAAATTCGGGTAGCTTCCTTGGTCCCGGTTCCAGTTCCAGTTCCAGCTCCTTGCCTTAGACTTGCAGGTGCAGGTGCAGATGCAAGCGCAGTGCCACGGCCGCCCTCCCAGCTCCGCTTGTTGCTTCCATGGCTTGGCCCTGTGAATGCCCCTCCTCCTCCTGTTCTCTTTCTTCTCCTTCTTCCCCCTCGCTCCCACTCCCAGATTCTCCCATTCTGCTTCTCTCCAACCTGCTCATTCGCCTCGGCCCAGTCTCTAGGTCCAGCTCCAGCTCCAGCTTCGGCTCCAGTAAAAGGTCAACGGTCTCGACTTCATATAAACATCCTCCTCCGTCCGCTTCCCACCACGCTCAAAGCTCCCTTTCTCTCCTCGCACCACAGTTTTCTCACTCCAACACCCTCCGCTACTTCTTCACTTGAAAATGGTTCACCTCACAACCGTCAACACGCCCCCAGACTCTGGCTCTGCCTCCGGCGCCGAGGACTCGTCCGCCACCAGCCTCCGCCAGGTCCAGCAGCAGCTCAAGAAAGTCCAGCTCCAGCTCGCCGACCACGATGACTGCTACACCACGAGCGTCTATGGCTCTCGCTTCGCCAACCAGGATCTTCCCAAGAGCGAGATGCCCGAGAGCGAGATGCCCAAGGAGGTCGCCTACCGCATGATCAAAGACGAGCTCAGTCTCGACGGTAACCCCATGCTCAAGTAGGCCTTTCCTTTCGTCATATACGGGAATCTCTTGTCATTTCTGGCCATCGTTAACCCCCGTCTTCATAGCCTGGCTTCCTTTGTGACAACTTACATGGTGAGTGAATACTGGACGAATCCAATAACCGTAGTGACATTCCGAGCTAACACCCCGCCCCAGGAAGAAGAAGCCGAGAAGCTCATGGTAAATAAATACTCACCAACACCTTCTCCCTCATTATGCACCGCATACACGAACCCAGATCCCGAAATCTAACAATGGTATTCCCACGAACAGGCCGAGAGCTTCAGCAAGAACTTCATCGACTACGAAGAATACCCCGCCTCAGCAGACATCCAGAACCGCTGCGTCTCCATGATTGGCAAGCTCTTCCACGCCGACGTTGGCGCGGGCGAAGGCGTAGGCGCCGTTGGCACCTCATGCGTCGGCTCCTCTGAGGCCATCATGCTCGCCGTCCTCGCCATGAAGAAGCGCTGGAAGAACAAGCGCCAGGCCGAGGGCAAGTCCACTGAGCACCCCAACATTGTCATGTCCTCCGCCGTCCAGGTCTGCTGGGAAAAGGCCGCCCGCTACTTCGAGGTCGAGGAGAAGCTCGTCTACTGCGCGCCTGACCGCTACGTCATTGATCCCAAGGAGACGGTCGACCTTATTGACGAGAATACCATTGGTATCTGCGCCATCCTGGGTACCACCTACACGGGCGAGTACGAAGACGTCAAGGCTGTCAATGACTTGCTGATCGAGAAGAACCTCGATGTGCCTATCCACGTTGATGCTGCCAGCGGAGGTTTCGTCGCTCCCTTTGTCGTTCCTGATCTTGAGTGGGATTTCCGCCTCAAGAATGTCGTCTCCATCAATGTCTCCGGTCACAAGGTAATTTCCCTCTCTCGTGCTTCAATTACCGAGTATCAAACTTCTTGGTTCACTCACTTACACACAAACTACAGTACGGCCTCGTCTATCCTGGTGTCGGCTGGGTTGTCTGGCGCTCTGCCGAGTTCCTCCCCCAGGAACTCGTCTTCAACATCAACTACCTCGGCGCAGACCAGGCCTCCTTCACCCTCAACTTCTCAAAGGGCGCCTCACAGGTTATTGGTCAATACTACCAGCTCATTCGTCTCGGCAAGAAGGGCTACCGCGCCATCATGTCAAACCTCACCCGCACCGCAGACTACCTCTCCCAGTCCCTCGAGGTCCTCGGCTTCCGTATCATGTCCAAGCGCTCCGGCGAGGGTCTCCCCCTTGTCGCCTTCCGCCTCCCCGAAGTCCCCGCCGGCGCCGAGGGCGAGCCGGGCGTCCGCCACTACGACGAGTTTGCGCTCGCTCATCAGCTTCGTGTCCGCGGCTGGGTCGTGCCCGCCTACACCATGGCACCCAAGACTGACGACCTCAAGATGCTCCGCGTCGTTGTCCGCGAGGACTTTTCCAAATCACGCTGTGACGCCCTCATCACCGATATCAAGCTCTGCATGGGCCTGCTCGAGCAGATGGACCAGGACGGTGTCAAGAGGCAACAGGAGTACATCAACAAGCACCACCTCACCAGCTCGAAGTCAACCCACAACCATCCAAAGTTCAGAGTTTGTCCCCAAAACCCCCGGGTCCCGCGCGAACCCACCCAGGATGAGATTTCACTAACCATACCGCGTCTGAACAGAAGGAAAAGCATTCCCTACAGGGTAAGACTGGCAAAACGCATGCCATCTGCTAAGCCCTTCCGCGGTTGTTGTCATAAAGACGCAAACTACTTACGGCACGAAATAAACGATTGACACGACGCATACGATGGCTTCACTGGTGCGGTGGCGGCAGGGGCAACTACGACGGCTTCAAAGCCAAACAAGGTTTGGGTAACGTAGGCTGGCGGTTGGGGATATATACTACACGAGAGGAAAGGAACGGTATTACTTTTTCTCGCGCTTGTATTTTGCACAAGAGGTTTGTAGAGGAGAAAAGAATACACCAGTCATTGGATCTACTTGGGATGGTCATCAACTAAGCGAGCATATATCTGTGGCCAACTAATCTCAAGGCAAGTCAAACTTCAACTTCATCCGGTTCTCCTGCACCGTCTTCTCCAACTCCCCACCGTCATCAGCATAATGTGCCAAATTCAGCGCCAAATCCGCCCACGTATTGCACTCGTCATCATGTCGGACATTGTAAGCGTCCACTGCCTGGTTAAAGCCCACAGTCACGAGCCACTCAAGCTCTTCGGCCGGGAACGGATGCTGGCTCTGTCAAGTGAAATCGCTCTTAGTGTTTTTGCCTGACGAAACATGCCGACCAACAGCGAAGAGGGGGGAGGGGAAGGAGGGTTGAGCAGCAGAGGAAATGCAAGCGCACCTTGCGAGAATCCCTCGCCACGTCGACGGCCTGCTTCATCAGCCTCTGCCCCAGCGCCGCATCGAGTGGTAATACGGCGTGGAACATGCACCGGATGTACTTTGCTAGCCTGTCGCCCTTCATCTTCTCGAGCTCCTAGATCTCGTTGACGATGACGCCTAGTGTGGAATAGAGAGCTGCGAGCAGTGGAAACACGGCATGGTAAGCAACGGTCTCCTCGTAGCCACCTATGATGGAAAACAATCCGTGGTGGGTTAGGCTGCTTACCTTGTCCAGGCAATTTGCCTCGCAGCGCAATATCACCCATCGCCTTGAGCGTATTCACGTCCCGACACGTCACCGCCGTACGGATGATGAACCCCAGCTCATCAGTCTTTTTCAATGCCATGGCAGCCTCAAAATCAAACACCATTAAAGTTGCCAGCTTGGCCGTTAGATCGCTCTTCAGCCTCGTAGCCAGACCATCGCTCATCTGCTTCTCCAGAGCTGCATTGTACGCCACGACATGCCTCCGCATGACGAGATAATGCTGGAGCTGCTGCTCGACGTTGTCTTCCGTCCGGGCGAGCGATACGAGAGCGGCGGCCGCGATGAAGTCGCAAAACATTGTCCTGAACGCGAGGTCACTCGCAGCTTCAGCAGGGAGATCCTCTGGATAATGCTTCGCGATAGCGAGGCAGCTGTTGTAAAGTCGGATAAGATTCTTTACGTCCCAGCTGTCCGAGTGTTTGAGGCCGAGGTTATACGCGTTCTGGCAGAACCAGTCGAGTTCCTTGACGGTGAACAGCCGGTTACCATCCTTGTCCCTGAGGCCTCGCTGGATTGCCTCGATAGCTAAAAGACGACATGATAAGTCTGTGATGGACTCCGATGAATAATGCACTCTCACCTCCTTCAAAAAGCACAAGCACTTCCTCCACTGTACTCTGCCGCTCCCTAGCCCCCTTTACGCTCTCGGCAATCGAGACAGCGAGTCGGATATTACACCGCAACAGCGCTGGCAAATGAATCGGAGACGTCTCGCTGAACTCGAACTTCTCCACCAGCTGCTTCATGGCCTGCATCGCGCAGACCTTATCCCCAGCCTGTTGCGCCTCGAGGACGCAAGCATAGAGAAAATTAGGGTCCTCTGGTGCTGAGAGAGCTACTCTTTCCAGACACTGAGCAGCCAATTCTTGGTCGGATGAGCGGAGGGCAGCCTTATACATGAGGTACCTCGTCATCGGTTCGTTTTGCGCTGTCTCGGACATGCCCTGAAAGACTTGCCTCGCCCTCTCGGCGTTGTTTCTTCCAAGGGCACAGAGAATGAGCTTTCTACGGTCGTCAGTGTACGTAGAGTGAGACTCCTGCGAAGATACACACCTGCCAAGTCTCGACATATTCGCAGGTCCGCCATTTTGGAACAGAGGCTGCAGGGCTATTTGGCACCAGCCATCTGCGAAGTCGAAGTGTCCCTGATTGTAGTTGACTTCGATCTTTTTCCAAATAAGCTGCACCAATATTAGCATTGCTTCTTTTCCATCTTCCTTGGATCAAGCTCACAGTCAAAGCTCCGACTGCCGTAGAAGCCCCGAAAGGCTCACTCAGGTTATCTTGGACGCCTACCAGAACCCCCATCAGCTCTTCTATGGCCATCATACCATCTCTCTGCGTCGTCTCCATCCATATCCTCAACAATACCAGTCTCTCGACCCACTCTCCGCGTCCAGAAGAGACAATAGTGCCCCTAAGCATCCCATCCACGACGCTCGTCGCCAGCGTCGGGCTCTTATCATGCAACTTTCGTGCGTGATGAACCAAGAGTTTAAAGTGCGCCTCGGAGAAGTTAAAAGAACGCACCATCCGCCTCAGAATATCAGCATAGGCCTCAATGTCAAATATCTCGGCCGGCGCCTTCTGTAAGAGCTCCAAGCGAAGGAGGAGGACAACGGGCTTCTCGCCAATCTCGGACTCGATGTAGCTGACTAGGTCAAGCGCCTTTTCCGAGGACTCTGGCGTGCCGAGGCCCAGAAGCGCGTGAATCAGGGCTTGACAGACGGAGAGGCGCAGCTCGATAGCGTCGCGGGAGAGAAGCGACAGGTCCTGGGCGTTGATGATGTCGTACCCCCGTTCGAGCCACCTTACCGCCATGCCGAAATCTTCCTTCTTGGAGAGGTCTTTGCCTATCTCGAATAATATCTCTGTCATTTTCTCGGCCGAAGTAGGATCGAGCGCATTCGGCTGGAGGTGTCCCTTGCTGTACATGAACTCCATGACGGGAAAGTTATCCGTTTTCCAGGCCTATCTTCCACGGTCAGCTCTAGGAGCGGCCGCATCATCAAACTCAAGAGCGAACTTGCCAGTGCTGCTCGGAGTATGAAGTATTCAGCGTCCAGCTTTTTGCATTCTTGCAAATCATCCGGTCCCAACATTTTGGCCTGTAGCTGACTTAATGTCGCGCTGTATCCCGCCCCCTTCTCGAACACAGTTTCGGCGAGCTTCAGAGCACTCGAGCTGGTACCACCTTCATCTATACACCATGTAAGTAGCTTCCTCTTCATCCCAAGAATTCCCGCTAAACTCCCGACTTACCAAGACACGTCTTCCCCGCCTTGAGCGCCAACTTCATCACATGCACCACATCCGCAAGCTGCGGCTCAGCACCGCTCGGAACACCCCTCGCGATGCTAATCATAAAGAAAGCAAACGTCCTACTCCGCAACAAAAGCTTCTTCCTCGCAGCCGGTGCTGCCGCCGTCCCGTCTACATTATCACGACGTTGTCGGGTACACAGATTCCAAAGCTCCGTCCCCCTCCTGTCAAGCTCCGCCCTCTGGGATTTCGCTCTTGGACTACCAGAAAAACGGATAATCGTCTCAAGCTGGGGGTTGAGCTCCACAAGCAGGGCGCCGATGGAGAGGGTATCGTTTGCGGAGGGGAGGCGCGTCGAGAGGGCCTGAGAGAATGCTTTCAGACTACAGGTCAGCTTGCAGACCACGAAAGCTTCATCTGCGGGATGCTACGGACTTGCGAAGGAGTTGATCTTGTCAACGCTGCTGTTGCTTTTGGGCGACTTTGCGCACCGTTGAGGGTGCATTGTGCTTGGCGAGGGCAGACCTGGGAGGTCGAGATCATGTGAACCAGGTGTTCACTTCGTGGAGAGCAAGTTGAGAGCGAATATTGGGCGACGGGTGCATGACAATGAAAGCATTTCACTTCCTTCAGGAAAGAGCGAAGAGGTTGAAAAAGACCGAGGTGATACGATGCGAAAGTGCCAAGTGCCAAGTCATTCGCGACAGGCATGAATCTCGTATGCGCCTTCCTCGAAAGCACCTGTATCCGGACGCGGGGCTACTCTCCCTAGACAAGCTTCTGACCCGGATCGGAAAGAACAGGACCTGAAGGGCATGATGGGAAGCGATTACTTGAGGCTTCAAACAAGAAAATAAGGCTATACTAGATGTGCCTGTTATGTACTGGCGGTGGACCGTTCCTCCCGCCTATGCAGAAGAACGTTCAAAATGCAACCGAACCGGAGAATGCTCTGGTATCCAATAACGCCTGCCCCCTTTGATTTTGTGTTTCCAACCCCCCCTCCCCCAAACCAAAGTTTTCCAATAGGTCCCCCTGCAATGCAAACGATTACGGCCGGGCTGGATCGTTGGGCAAGAAGTTACCTACAATGAGTGTAGGGCTGTCTACTTGTCAGCTTCAAAAGGCGCGAGACTAGTGGGTGGGCGGATACCAACATTTTGTGGTTATCTCGTTGAATCATAAATGAGAAGCAGCAATGAACCACCGGGTCTGTCGCCTTGTCGTCTGGGTTCTTTAGTGTGCAGGCTGTAAGTAACGTATCGTGAGCGGGATCGAAGGCGATGGTTCCAAACTCTTCCCAGTATCGCACGAGAGACTCTTCCGTCAGAATCTCGTGGAGTGAGATCTTGCCCTATGATCTGGTTAGTTGCAACGTGACTTGCTTGAAATGACCACAACACGTACATCGCGTAGGTTCTCCACAGGCACATGGAGAAGTTCCGCCATCTCATTATTGCCTCTGAAGATCTCTCCAGTTCTCCGCCAACAACACGCTGGCACCGCCATACTCGCAAATACACGGTCGTACTCCATGAGCTGTTTCTCGAACCACATTTCCACGTAGAGCAGTTCCATATCCGTCAGAGCTTGCGCCTTTTCGCGGAACTTGGGTCGGAATCGATCGATCGTTCGCAGAATCTTCTGCTTCGATGATGCAGCGATGTGGCCATCCAGGTACGTGCCCAGTCGCGCGTAGCCCTTGACGTAGTTGAAAGGCTTCAGCAGACCGGCCTCGTACTTGGCCTTTAATACACGGTCCATGCGCTCCTCAGGGGTATCATTTCCTGACGGATCGGCCGCCTGGAGGTAGTATTCACGCGCCTTGTCTTTGTCGCCCTGAACGATGCTGCCTGGCCGTGATATCGCCTTGCCCTGCTCCAGGTTCTGTGGAGGCAGCATCTGCGAAAGCGCATTATTGCCATTGCTAGCACCGGCCCGGTTATTCCCATTATGATTTCCAAACGTCGGCAGCATATCGTTGGCGCCCGCGGTCCTGCTGAAAGCGGGGCTGTTTTGGGACTCGTCCGAGACAATGCCGCCGTCATCCAGTAAGCTCGTCTGCAGAAAGTCATTCAACAGGTTGAACTCGTGCGTGACTTCGGGGGCGATCAAGTAGTTGTTGGGGTGATAGCTTTGCATGTCGTGGTAGTGGTTCTGGGCCGTCAACCAGGCATCGGAGAATCCAGCGACTGTTCGACCGGGGCGCATCACGTTAGCTTCCGAGTCTCTCTCAAGTTGAGGCTGCTTGTTGTCCTTCTGTACTCCCTGGAGAGCGCAGACGCGTGCAAAAAGAGCAAGGAGCCCCCAAGTACGAACAGCACGGCACTGTGGAAAAGGGGGAGAACAAGCCCGCGGGTGAAGACCTACATTGGTTCACATTGCTGCCGTTTCCCACCATGCCGGTGCCTGCCCCCGGTGACACGAGGTGCAGCGGGTTCCCCTGGCCCAGTACAGCGGCGCCAAAAGCAGCCGCCTTGCGGTCGAAAGGGGGCGGCGGGCCCATGGACCCGGTCGCAGATTGGTCGATGGAGCTTCTCGTGAGCTCAGATTGCGTTGTCTCGGACTCGTCGACAGCGGATGGCGCGTGAGAGCTCTTGGCTTTTTTGGAATCGGCATCGCGGGGCTCATCGTGGCAGAGGTGGCCAATATTGCGCTTGATGCATCTTGTACATGGTCGTTCCTAGGCACAACATGTCAGCGGGTGTGGTACGAGCCAAAGAAACGGCATGCGCGCGCTCGCGCCTGCGCAGAGCTTCCAGGAAGCCGAGTGGACAGCGCGGGGAGACAGAGATAAACGGACGCCGCAGCAAGGCAGCCCGTCATGTGTCAAGGTTGTGTGAAGAAAGAGATCTTACATACGAGATCGCATGTCATATGCTATAGAGCAGGCAAGACACTATCCGTCAGCCATCTTTTCTCTTTCCCGCTTATTGTTTATTCAGGCCCTGCAGGTTTCCTTCTGCAGGGAGACGAAGTTGCGCGTATATGCAGGTAGGGGTTTCGTTGGTTGGCATAATCATCGCACGGCAGCAATCGCAGAGACATGATAGTGTCAACACCATGCGCGAAGCCGGGGAAGCAATGCCAGTTATGCTGTTTGGGTAAGGGCTATCTGACTTACAGATCGCCGGCAGTAGACGCAAGCTGGGAGGGCACATGACATTAGCTGGTGCTTCCGCACGACTTGCGGCACTGAGAGAAAGTCGCTGCAGCAGCTGCAATCGCAGTCTCAAGGGAGCCCGCGGACACAGCGCGCAGCTGTACGTGGGGTTCAACATACCGTGGTTGACCTTGCGGCGTTTTTTGGGGCTCTTGGCCGAGTGAGCATGGCCACCATTGTTCTCGGTCTTGTCACGCTTTTCCTTGTCGTCTTGCGCTTCGGACTTTACGTCTTTGCCGTTATCTGGCATGGCGAGAAACCCAGGACGGGTGACGGCAGCAGTTATGGGTGGTGGTGGTGGTAGTGGTAGGAGTGGTGGTGGTGGAGGGCGGGCTCGGAATCAGTTCAATGGGGCAGCGGCTCCCATTGGACCTCAAAGGTTACGCAGTAGACGAGGTTTCGCAGATCATTTGACACCGGGGGTGAATAATGCTAATCGACCGTGGTGTACTCTCGAGTGTCTGCGCAAAAGATTGGGCGTGGCGGGTTTCTGCAGACAGAGTGGTAGAGAAAACGAGGTTGTCGCGTGCGGGTAGCCGGCGGGCTGAGTTCGGCTATGGTTGCTTTGCTTTGCTTGCTTTCGGATTTGTCCCGCCTTGCAGGTCTCGAGTTGGACACGGATTGCGAGGGATTCGTTGGAAACTGCCGATCCTCTTTTCCAAGTTCCTAGGTAGTCCTCGTCCTCCTGGTACGTTCATTCGCCTCGGGTCTGGGGATCGCGGAATCGTGGGCGTTTTCGAGCGTGGTCGCAATTTGTGGTGTAGGTGTAGGTGTAGGTGTTGGTGTTTTGGTCGTGGTGGCTTTGGACAGTCGCATGGAGAAGAAGAAAAAATGGGTGCGGGCTTTTGGCGCAATGAGCAAATGATGATCAGTCCCAAGGGAATGGGATGGGAGCTGAACCAGGCGAGCCAGGCGAGAGGGAACCAACCTGGTACCTTGGCTGAAAGCTTCGCAGAAAAGGAAAAGGAAAAAAAACGACAACGGGCAGGCGGCGTATCCGTACCCAATTGCCATGGGAAGTGGGTTAGCTAATTGAGCACCCGGCATTCCTTCCCACCCACTTCGACACATTAGCCTTTGGGACGAGCCCAGGACAGGCAAGATCGATGTTGTTGTGTTCCTGGTAGTGGAAAGTACCTGACCCAAGCGGGGGATGCTACTTCGTCGTCTCACTCAACCTTCACTCACTCAATACTGCGTGCGATTTCACTCATCAACCTCAATCGTGAGAAACCACTTCAATAAACTCTGAGGCTTACAGCCACAATCTTATTAGTAAATCACGACTCACGGCACGGTATCCAAGGCTGGGCGCAGCTGGGCAGAAGTGGGTTACAACCAGTAATCGTCATGTAATGAGGTATCCCCCCTCACCTAGCTGGTCGGACGTCGCCCGATGAGACAAGCAAAATGAGAGCGAGAGAGTCGTAGAGAGAAGCGGTAGGGGAGAGAATGCGATTTGGTTTCCCCGCCTTCTCCTTCATCCCGACTTGTCACCTTTTACCTCGGTGAAGGTCTCATCACGCACATTTAAGACTCGGTGACATTTTACGAAAAGGTACCTCGGTCAATCATCTGCCAATTCAAAGCAATGATATCACACCAGCACGCATGGCACAGACATTGCTAGAGGAACCCACCCGTCAATGCAGCTTCCCTTCTGCCCTACGAGCTATCTTTAGTCGCTGTTCCCGAAATCCCCTGAGCAGCTCCATCACCACCGTCGCATCAAACCAAACGGTAAATTCTTGGCTCTCGAAAATGTCAAGGCAAGCCCGCAAACCAAGTGGTCCTTCGTCCCATCTTCTTCTGACTACAACGATTCAGCCAGTATTACTAGTGTACCTAGTCAATTTGCGCTCCAACGGCAGCGAAGCAGAATGGAAAAAGACCAACGGCTGAGAGCTAGTATTCTCCAGTCGCCTGCAGCATGCAATGTAATGTAAGCATGAAACCACAGCCCGCCATTCGGCCCAAGGTGGTTTTCTGCTTCGCTCTCTCGCACTCTCTTGCTTCCCCTCGGCCGCCCTGGTCCACGGCTTTCCAGCTGAGAGAAAATCACTACCGCTTCCAAGTTCGTGCTGCTTCATCCATCGCCCCGGCTACCCCGGCCCCAAAGTCTTCCCCCTCATCATCCCATCTCTCTGTGCTCACGGGACTTGGCGATTTGGGGGCGCATTCGAGATCGTGTGACGCATTGCTCTCCTGGTTACTTCGCAGTAATGGTTATGCAATACTACAAGGGGAGAATTGAATGAAGTGACACAATATATCGTAAAATCTTCGTCAAGTTCGCCAGACTCTTTACGAATTGAACACCAAAAAAATCGACACTTGAGCACCTAACCCCTCCAAGAAAACAAGAAAAGAATCCCATGCAAACCGAAAAAAGTCTTGGCGCCCGTTGCTAAATGGCTACGAAAAAGCTCTTCTCCCCCTCCTTCGGCAGCACCCTGGCCCTCCTCATAATCGGATCCTCGCAGCTTAGCCGGATCCTCTCGGGTGTAGCCGGGCTCTCCAACCTGAGCAGGCCATCCCCCTCCCGGTCCTCCCCGACCGTCGCCGCCACCCCGTACTGCGCCCTCGACGCCTTGAGCGCGTCGCGGATCGCAAAGAACACCGCGCTGCCCATGAACAGCGGCGGCTCGCCCACGCCCCGCGATCGCTGAATCGTCCGCAGGTCCTTCCACTCCACGTCCTTGAGCAGCGTCACGTTGAACTCTTGCGGAATGTCGCGGAACCCGGGGATCTTGTACGCTCCCGGACCCCGCGTGAAGAGGTTACCCGCCATCGGCCCGTTGCGGAGCCAGAGCGATTCCTCCATCGTGAAGAGGCCTAACCCTTGGACAAAGGCGCCCTGGATCTGGCCGTAGTCGAGCGCCGGGTTGATGGACTGCCCGACGTCCATCTTGATGTCGGCCCGGAGGCACGTCCACGTGCCGGTGAGGGTGTCAATCTCCACCTCGGCCGCCGTGACGCCCTGCGTGAAGTAGAAGAACATCTTGCCTCTGTTCTCGCCCCACGTGTACCCGATCTCTGGTGTCTTGTAGAACCCTTGCGCCGAGAGGTTCACTCGGTCAAAGTACGCGGCGTGCGCCAGATCCTTCATCGTCGCGCCGGGTCCCAGCTTCTCCCTGTACGGCGCTAGGCGCTCGTTGAGCTGCGCGCACGCGTTGTAGATGGCGTAGCCGTTGAGGTCTGACGAGGCTGACGCGGCCGTCGCTGAGGCGTTGGCCACCGTGTTGGTCGCCGTCTCGGAGATGAAGACGTTGTCCAACGGCACCTCGAGAGCTTGTGCGGCGATCTGCGTCATCTTCGTGTGCAGTCCCTGACCCATCTCCGTACCGCCGTGGGCCACCAGGACGGATCCGTCGTGGTAGATGTGTACGAGAGCCCCCGCCTGGTTTAGGAAGAGGGCAGTAAAGGAGATGCCGAACTTTGTCGGGATGATGGCTAGGCCACGCTTGCGCCACTTGTTGCCATCGTTGAAGCGCCGGATAAGCTCTCTCCGCAGCTCGTACTTTGCCTCGTCCTGAACTTGCTTGTACATCAGTGGTACGTGCCAGTCAGTCAGGGGCTGGTTGAAATGCGTCGGCTCCAACGGCTTGTAGAAGTTGATCTCACGGAACTTCTCGACTGGCATGCCCAATCGATCCGCAACCTCCTCCATGTAAGTCTCGGCAATGAACATGCCCTGAGGTCCGCCAAATCCTCTAAAGGCCGTGTTCGACATGGTGTTGGTCTTGCACAGCCGGCCGCGGATGAAGACGTTGGGAATCCTGTAGCAGCCGTCCGAATGGGACATTGCTCGCTCGCAGACGGCCGCGCTCAAGTCGAATGTCCAGCCGGCGTTATTGAAGACGTCGAGATCCAGCCCTTGTATCTTGCCGTCCTTGTTCACGCCGACCTTCCATCTGCCCAAGAACGGATGGCGCTGCCCCGAAGTGACCATGTCCTCTTCTCTCGTCAGCATGTAGCGACACGGCCGCCTAGTTTTCCTCGCTGCGAGCGCGAGCGGTGCGCTCAGTTGGATTGATCTCGTCTCCTTGCCTCCGAAGCCACCACCAAGTCGCTTGACGCGAACGACGATTTTATTTGCTGCTACGCCCGTCATCCGAGCAACAAAGACTTGTCTGCAAGCTGTTAGTACAAAAACCACAGATTTAATGAAGAGTGAGCTTACGTCTCGTTGGCGTTTTGGGTGCTGGAAAACACCTCCATCTCGCCATCCTCGAGCTTGGGGACTACCAATGAAGCCTGCGTCTCGAGATAGAAGTGCTCCTGGCCACCCATTCGCGCCGTGCCGGTGAAGATGTGATCGCAGTTCTTGAATGCCTCTTCAGTGTCGCCGTTCTTGATCTCTCGGTAGTAGTTGTGGAAGCTGTCCTTTTCGATCGCTTCTTCGATTGTCAGGATTGATGGCAGGTCCTCATACTCGACCTTGACTGCACGTGCGGCCTCGGCTGCCCTCGACGCTGAAGTAGCCAAAATCATAGCGATGGGCTGACCAGCAGTATGGACCTCGCCTTCGGCAAAGAAGAGCTCGTCAAAGTGAGGAGCACCCCAGCGGTTCTGCTCAGGTGAATCGACGTCGTCCTTGTCGATATAATCGACGACACCAGCCATGTCCAGTGCGGGAGAGTAGTCGATCGACTTGATCTTTGCGTGAGCTTTTGTCGACAGCACGAAGCAGCCATGCAGCTCGTTCTTCGCCACCGGTATGTCGTCGATGTATTGGGCCTCTCCAGTGACTTGCTTCAGAGCGGCAACATGGCTCTTGGACTTGCCCACGGTCTCCTGCTCGTACGCAGCAGCCGCGCCGTGGTCTTCGGTTCCGCCAGAGATGCCACGCTCAAGTTCGTCGACCGCCTCGATATCTATATGCTCGCTCTTCCCACCGAGATTGGCGATGACGTCGTGGTAGAAACGGTAGAAGAAGCTGAAGGCAAGCGCCTTTCGGTACGAAGCCATGCCTCCCGGAACGCTGAATTGCAGATCAAAGTCGGTTCCCAAGGCATTCATTGCTCCTTCGAGGGTCTCGAGCTCGGCAATGCGCTTGCCCACCAAGTACTCCATGGTGTTCTTCGCGGCTACTGTCATGGCCGCCATTCCACCATAGATGAGGTTGCACTCGGTCACTACGCCATCGTCGTCCATCTTGATCCGTAGAGCACCGGTCACGATGGCAATGTCGTCGTCTTTCCTCTTGGCCTGCTTGTATGCTCTGAAGAACTCATTCTTGGCAGCCGTCACGGGTATCCTGATGGAAGCAATGATGGCGTCTTGAGGAAGTGCTGTACGTCGGTATCCTGTGAAGAACTGTGACATGGGAATCTCGGTCTCTTCGCTCTGAGACTTGGCCACCAAGACGGCATTGGCTGCCCAGAGTACCGGGTTCAAGTCTGAGATGGGCGATGCAGTAACCAAATTCCCGGCAGGGGTACCAACATTGCGAATCTGTCTGCCAGCAAAGTACTTGAGTTGCTTGTAAATGCCCTCAAACACCTGGCCGCGAGCGTCTCCATAGTGGCGCGTTGCCACTTTGCTGATGTGCTCCAAGTCTGTCAGGACGACGTTTCCTCCAATCTCTAGATGGTCATCCTTGAATTCGTACTGTCGCAATTCGGCAATGTCCCCAACGAAAACGGAGACGGGGTATTGTGCCGCCTTGAACTTTACTTCAATCTGGGTTTCGGTGCTGCCACCGATAATCTTGGCTGCAGGGTGTATGCTCTTGATATCCAGCAGCTGCTGAAGTGTTACTGGCCTGTACCACTTCTTCCTCTTGTTGCCGAACGAAAGCGGCCTCATCTCGTGCTTCTTGAGGGCGGGTGGGAAGATGAGTTCGGTATCGGGGTTGTACTCGATGAAGCCGGGGGGCGTGAATCTCTTGATAGGTTGGTCATCAAGCTTTGCCTTGTCCATGCAGCATCCGCCCTCCTTCTTCTCGCCGTTGCCATTCTCCATGCAGCAGCCCGAACCACCGTTCGTCCTCGCCTTTCCACATCCCCTCTCGACGCTAAATGTCTGCGCGGCCTCGAGAATAGGCTTGTAGCCGGTACATCTGCACAAGTTGCCATCGAAGGCTTCCTCGATGTCTTCTTCCGAGGGCGAGTCGTTGTTGCGTAGCAGAGCGTACAAGCTCATGACAATGCCGGGGGTGCAGAAACCACACTGACTGCCGTTGCTCTTCGCCACGCGCTCCTGGGTGGGGTGTGGCCTCTTTGTGTTTCCGATGCCCTCGATGGTGATTACGTGCTTGCCGTCGACACTGGCTAGGGGTGCCAGACAAGCGTTTACGCTCGCATGGTAGATCTGCTTCGTCGTCGGATTGAACTGGGAGATGACGACGGTGCAGGCACCGCAACCGCCTTCGCCACATCCACTGATGGGTGTTAGTGTGTGTCATGATTGCTTCAATCTCCTGCGGGCCAGAAAGCTAGGGCCTGGACATACAGCTTGGTTCCCGTCAAACCGATGCCTCGCAAGTACTCCAAAAGAGTTACCTCGGGGTCAATCTCGTCTAGCACGACCCGGGTGCCATTGAGGTAGAAGCGAATGGTATCGTCAAAGTTGGTTGTGAGCGAGTTCAAAGGCCCGACATCCCGCTCGGGGGAGATGGCGATAGGCGCCATGTTGCCAGGAAGCTGCCGAGAACCAGTTCAATGTGAGATGTGATATCAGGTAAGTCCTTAGCACGCTTCGAAGGTCTTTGGGTAGGAGGATGAGGAGGGAGTGTAAGGAGAGGGAAAGGAGAGGGAAAGGAGAGAAAAGGAAACGGGTGTAGGTGCGCTTAGGATGGTGGAAGAGAGACAACCCCGCAGCTTTATTGTAGAAAGAGAGGCGAAGACGATACTAATTCAGGTTGAGCCAAGCCTCCGTAGGTACCTAGGAGTAGTGTT